ACTGGGATATCGAGGATGCTGTGAACCGCTATGTGCAGCCTGTCCTGGACAAATTGAGCTTGGTGGCCAACTTCTCTGTTGACTCGCAGGTGAGAGCTGGGAGAGGTGATGGGGGAGGGCCCAGCCCTGGGCCTTACCAGGTGCCCTAGGACGCGCTTCTCTGCCAGCGACATCTTTGTTGTGTGCCTGCAGATCCTGTACTATGCTGTCCTAGGAGTGACACCACGCTTTGACAAGGAATCCTCCAGCTTCCTCCTGAGCACTCACAGCCTCCCGCATGTCATCAACCCTGTGGAGGCCCGGCTGGGGGAGCACTGTGCTCCTGACCCGGCTCTCACGGGACCGGTCTGGGCGGACAGCTGTGCCTGTGATCTGTGCCCCTTCCCTCCCCACAGCACCATGCCCTGCCAGCCCTGAATGGGAGCGAGGATCACTGAGACCTGCCAGCCTGGCAGTTCTGGTCGGGGCTTGCTGTGGAAGGAGGAGTGGGGCTGGGCTCTGCCCCAGCGCTGTGTGCGGGCGGTTTGCTCTCGCTATGCCTGCTGGCAAGGGGAGTTCTTTGACTCTGTCCCGCTGCAGGCTCCAGCGCTGCCTCGCTCTACCCCGTGCTGAACTTCCTGCTGTATGTGCCAGAGCGTTCCCACTCCCCTCTGTACATCCAGGACAAGGATGGAGCCCCAGTGAGCACCAACGCCTTCCACAGCCCCCGCTGGGGCGGCATCATGGTACGGGGCCATGGGGGTGCTGGCAGCACTCGGACAAAGTGGCGGCTTCCCATCCCTGGCAAGTGCTGGCCACCCTGCCAGAACCAGGGCTCCGGCTGTGCCTTGCTGACACGCTGTCCTGCAGGTTTACAACGTTGAAGCCCCTGCTTCCCCCCAAGCCTCCCTCCCGCTGCACGTGGACGTGGACATGGTGCGAGTGATGGAGGTTTTCCTGGCCCAGCTCCGGTGAGGATGGTCTCTTCCCTCCCTGGGCCTCTGTGTGCTCTCCTGGCACACGTGGAAATTGGTGGGATCAGGGCAGACTGTACCCATGCAGCCCGTTTGCCCCTCTGTGGGCTCTGGGAGGCCGAGGGTGGCTTTTTGTAGCCTTTGAGGTGCTGACCACTGGCCAGCACTGCTCTCTGGCCAGGGCTGCTGGCACATCTCCCATCTCCTGAGGCAGGAGGCTTATCTTGTCCTACCCCGTGCCCAGGAGGCCATTAGGCATGTTTCAGCCCTGCCAGGACTGAATGCAGCAGGGAAGGGGAAGAGCAGGGAGCGCATGTGGGACTGCAGGCTTGTGATGTGGGCCGGGACCTTCCACTCTACTCCCAGGTTACTCTTCGGGTTATCTCGGGAAGAGCTGCCTGCCGAGTTCCTGCTGGAGAGCCCAGGGAACGAGGGGCTGGCTGACTGGGAGCTGGACCGCCTGCTCTGGGCCCACACCGTGGAGAACATCGCTACCGTGTCCACCACCTTGACCTCACTGGCCCAGCTCCTGGACAAGATTGGGAACATTGTCATCAAAGATGATGTTGCCTCTGAGGTAGGGCTGAGGCACCCTGAGGTGAGGAGCAGAGGGGGCCTGATGTCACTGTCCCTGTGCAGACCATGAGCTCTGGCTGGTGTGGTGCTGCATGGTCCCCAGGCTTGTTTCTGTGGTCCTCCCCGGCCAGGGACTGACCGTCGGCGTTGTTCTCGTGCAGGTGTACCGAGCGGTGGCCTCAGCGCAGAGCGCCATGGCCAAGCTGACCACGGGCCATCTGCACCTGGCTTTCCAGGCCAGCAAGGAAGCAGTCACTTCCTCAGAGCGTGCCTTCTTTGACCCATCTCTCCTCCATCTCCTCTACTTCCCCGACGACCAGAAATTTGCCATCTACATCCCCCTCTTCCTGCCCATGGCCGTCCCCATTCTCCTCTCCCTGGCCAAGATCGTCCGGGAGACCAGGCAGCATAAGAAGGAGCCCACCAAGATGGACTGAGCCCATCCCCACAGTGCCCTGTCTTGGGGCTGGGGCTGTCCCTACCTCGTGGAGTGCATTGTTGTAGACCTATGGCCCAAGAAGGTGCCCCAAAATGGTGTCAGGGCCAGGCCCTGCAGCTTGGCTTGGGTCTGCTGTGGCCAAGATGCAGGAGAGGGAAGAGAGGTTGCTTTGAGGGGTGGGAGATGCTCTCAGTCTGGGTCCTGAGCCTGCTACCCAGGACGGCAGAGATCAGAGAGGAGGGAGGGGGCTCCCTGTGTGCACCCCCGGGCCCTGCACTGTGTTCAGAACAAGCTGCTGTGTAAATAAAGACAGAGCCCGGTTGCGTGGGGCTGTGTGATCTCCTCTCCCCTGCCGTTAGCCCT